TAGATGGAACTAGTGAAAAAAAGGAGCCTCCCAATCCCATGTTACCCGTGAGGAACAGGTCCTCAAATGAACTTAAAAGTAAGAGTAAAAATAAATTGGTTTATCTGGGCCAACTGTATGGTCTTCAACACCCAAAAGGAAAGTATTAACCAAAGATTAATGGGATCAATATAATTCTTTAAGAGTCCGTGTGTATAGCTAAAGGCTACATAACAAGAAACAATGCCAGGCAGGAGATATCTTCCTTTGAGTTGTTGGCCAGGGTAGCCCAAAAGACTCCCAGATAGTAACCCAGCACAGAACTGGGAAAATGAACAGCAGACCTCAATCTTATCTAAAGGAATATTGGCAACTAATTGCTGCTAGATGAAGAAGAGCTGATCTTCCTAAAATGAGGACCACTAGATAGGCTGACTAGATTCAGCAGATGGATAAGCACTGGGGAACAGCTGGGGGCGCCAACAACAGTGGACAATAACAGGGATGATAAGAGTATATGGGCTCCAGTGGTTGGGGGCTGGGAGGGGGCAAGGCTATGGGATGGTGCCATTTGCGATGTGGTTATATAGACATATAAGATTGTTTGGGATGTTCTTTATGAATTACCCAGAAAAAAAAATCAACAAATAAAAAAATGAGTTATAATTGAGGAAGAAGCATAAAAATTTGCTTCATATTAATTAGTAGAGGTGAAAAACATTACCACTGAAATCTACCTGATGATTTTATATCCATGCTCAGGCACCAAGGAGCTCAGAAAGTAACCAACTGTGATTAGTAATAATCAGATATCAGATACATAGAGATTAGAGACACATGCAAATATCTAAGTGTTAGTAGCATTAAAAATGAGTTTTTCTATATGAAACAGTATATTTTAAAATGAAATGGAGATCTTTTTTGAAGGTTAAAACCTCATTCAATTTTATGTTTTATAGAATTTATACTTAGTTCAATATTGTATAACTGTATTCAACTGTGAAGCTAAAAATTTGCAGCCAATTTTGAAAGAGATTCAGCTTTGCTCTGGAAATTGTTATTGAATATGTTAATGCTGTAATGAAATGTTTCTTCTAATCATGTGGTTATTAAATAAATAATTAAAAAATATATTTCAGAAGACATTGAATTGATGTTCACAAGTGGTAGGTGATCTTGTCTTATTAATAAGGCTTTTGCCTTTTTTGCAAAAATCATTCCAAGTTGACTTTTGTTTCTAGCCTCAAGGGTCTTAAGTAATATAACCATTTCACATGCTTTGATGGAAAGCAAAGACTTCCTAAATAAAAATGATGAGAGCCCCAGGGGTCTGCTGACCATCATGCAGACCAAAGCCCTTTTAAAGGTGAAAAAAAGACAAAGTTGGTCCAACTGAGGGCATCATTTCTCTAGACCAGTTATAGAAGGACTTAGAACAAGGACACCTGAGCCAGATGGACACAGTCTGTATACAAACACTGAACACAATTGGGCCTCGTTTGTTTTTCTCCATAAAACACGAATGTAGACATGGCAGTTGGAATCATGACATGACCATTCTGGTTGCTTTTCTCACTTTCTCATTCCACTCCTGCTTCAAATGATTCCTTTTATGACCAGCCAGATGGAGTTGCAGATTCTGAGTGCAGCAAAGCCCAAGCCCAGCTAGTTGTCATGAGTAGACAGAAATGGGCAACTTTAAAAAGATGTAGACTATCAGACAATCTTCTGAAGAGATTTCCCAGGATATCCTGACTCCTGGACAAGGCTGGAAATCATCACTTTGAGGAACGAGCTTTCTGTGTCCTCAGCATTTCCTTAGGTCCCTTAGACCCTTGTGGTTCTTCTTTTCATAAGTCTGGGTTAGTTCTACTTCAATAATTCCCAGGCCCTCTAAAACACTTATTGATGGAGGCCATACATCCTAAGGCCTCCCCAGGGCCTACAGAAGGCATCAATAGACAGCCTTCCCACCACTGATTCTCTACCTCTGTCCCCAATGTTATTTCCTATAAAACACTTTCTCACACCTATTAAGGCCCTGCTGTGGTCACTGAGGTTGTCTCTCCTCCAGCCCCTTGCTCCCTTCTAAGCATTTTGAAGGAAGATCTACAGCCACACACCTTCAGTAAACACACAGATAGCAAGCATACCAAACAAGCAGGTGTCTTTGGGGAAAATGAAGTTATAAAACAGAAGAGGGCTGGAGAGATAGCTCAGCGGTTAAGAGCAGTCAGTGCTCTTGCAGAGGACCCAGGTTAGATTCCCAGAACCCACATGGCGACTACAAACCATTCTTAACTCCAGTTCCAGGAGAATCCGAAGGCCTCTTCTGACCTCCGCGGCACTGCATAACATGGGTGCACTCACATACATGCAGGCAATATACTCATACACATAAAATAAAAATAGTAAATAAAATATTTAATAAAAAACAAAGCTTCAGAACAAACCCTCAGCTACTCTCTCTAGTAACCAACTTAGTCCCCTATCCATAAACCACAAGATGTATGAGGGAAAGTAACAATCCAAAAGAAAAACACCAAGTTATGAAAACAGAACAGCCAACCCAGAAGTAAAGAGATATACAAAGGGGAAGGGTGGCTTGATGCCTCACATATACATAACTCTGGGAAGTTTTCTATTATTTGAAGCAAATCCACTCTTATTTCACTTCCATATCTTGTGTCTAAAACCATATTTAAGCAGATTCTGAACCTCCTGATGGGTTATTCCATGCTATTATTTCTTTTACATTTTCTGCTTCTTGTTTTGCTGTTTTTGATTGGAACCTATAAGGCCCATCCAAGGAACTAGAAGGATGGTGTACCTAGAACACAAATACAAAGAGAATGTGAAAGACTTGGAGATAGCTGTGAAGAAGGAAGCAGCATAGAACATAAAGGATTTTGGTCAATCTTCTATCTAGGAGCAAGTAAAGTCCCAGAAATAATTTTAACGTGACAGGGAATTGAATGGTGCTTGTAGGACCAGAACTGCATTTGGAATACTCCCCTGGGCTGAAGTGTGGAGACCAGGCTAGAAAGGAACAGTGTGGATAGAGGAAAACCAAGTGGATGGCTGTGGTGCTGGACCAGGCAAGAGATAATGGTGCTTTGCCCAAGGGTGATGGTGGGCGACAAGGAAAGTGGATTCAAGACAAAAGGCACAAGGAGTCCCAAAATACATATGAAAAGTCATATGAAAAGAGACCTATCAGATTGACAAGAAAAAATGAAAGACCAAAAACCTACATAATGTTGATGAAAAGGTAGATAACTCATATTGTTGGCTTAAATATTTTAATGGTAACTTGGTAATAGCCAAATAAGAATGTCCACCAATTCACTTCCATTTCTAAATAGCTACCCTATACAAATGTAACTATTTGAGCATAAAGATACATTCCAAGATGTTTACTGCAGCATCTGTTTATAAAGCAAAGAAACTGAAATAATCAAAAGTCTATCAGCAAAGAAATAATGGGATATTAAATGTCATGCTTAAATAGAACAAATTCAGTGTGTGCTAACGTTAATATAAGTATAAAAAGTAATTTTCAGAAAATATGTATATTTTAAAAATAAAAGGCTCCATCCATATATGTGTTTATATTGTAAATATGTCTTTGCGACAGCAAAGGGAAACATCTGGGATGATGCATATCAACCTGTGTGTGGTCTCTAAATTCTCAGCAATGTCGGAAACTAAGTTGTCTGTTGAGAATGAGGACAGCTGCTCCAAACATTTTCCATTTTAAGAGAATGATTCTGGCTTGTAATCACGTTGTGGGGATAGGAAATACAGCTGACTGTCCACTGCCAAACTTTTCCAAAGGCTCAGAACAGTAACCAAGCCAATAATCAAGATCAGCCCTCTTTCTTCAGCAGAGCTCAGGATGTGGAGGAGGAAATAGAGCATCTCCTATGACCTGGACTGCTTAAGCACTGACACTATGCTGACTAATTATAACTTTTGAACTGCAATTCACCTGGATGGTAACATCCTATTTTGCAGATTTAGACAGTTAAGTAGTCCAAAATCACATAATAAGAGGATGATAGAATGAAAAGTCCCTGATGTGTGTACCTTTCAGGTTCCCTCCCACTTGATGGTGGCTGGGGTGCTATCCTCTAAGATGGTGGAGCCAGCAGGTAGAAAGGGGCTGGGCATCCAAGTGATCTCCTGAGCGCAGGTCTATCTCACCACCTGGCTGATCAAGAGAAGACAAATCCCTCTCCTGTATAAGCCCCGCTGAAATTTAAACAGTTTATTTTATTCTCTGTTAAGTCACTATGCTGACATCCTAATCAAAATAACCTCTAAACAAGAATAAAGTCATCCATTGAAAATCCTAGGAAACTTTTGGCTAGGCAGTTAGGGTAAAAAGACCCCAAAGAAAAGTAGCTAGTTTCTTGGCTAAAAGTCAAAATGTCCTTGGGCCTCTTAGCAACATACTCTGTTCCAAAGGCCAAAAAATGTCTAAAGTATTTGAGGGCTCTTATCTAATCCCTAAAAGATTTTAGGGTTACCTCTTCAGAGGGGGTAATGTTA